GAAATGAACCAGAAAATCAGAAATAATTTGATTAATAAACTAGTTTGAGAAGAAAAATTGTTCATGACCAAAAATCATCCACCAGAAAGTCTTCCACCAATAAAAGGTGCATTACTACAGCAAGTATCGAGTAGTGTGCAACATCACCAAACGATTGAGGTTGGAGTTTGCATAATGAGTCTTGGCTGTTTAAATGGTCGGAATTATTAGAAATTTCTGATTCCTGCAAAGAACTCATAAAATGTGTTTCAAATTCTGTAAAAACAAGTGCAGCTGCAGAACTGCTCGTTTATCTTGCACATTATCGTGCAAATACAATGAATGTGAACAATAATACCCCCGCCGCAGCAAACCTGCAGACCAAGCGAATTTCCATTTGTCTGAATTGATTTTCAATTAAATCTATTTAAACAACATTAGTTTTAACGAGTACCTAGGATTGTTGCTACAAGGAAACTAATAAAGTTAGTTTTTCAGTCAAATATTAATAGCTTGGTATAAGATAAATAAATTCACCATTTTTATTTACATATATCCATAAACAAGCAAACTAGCAACATTTTACAATATTCTCCATAAAAATAACATGAACATTTTAAATTTACAATTTTTTTATTTTTCTCTGTTACCAATAACCCTACAAAAACACTTTGATATACTAAATCATTTGTTTTTAAGCTCTTTAATAAGGTCTATACTATATTAGATATATAGAGAGGTATAGAGGTATAGAGATATATATTGGAAAATGTTATGTTTTGAGGTTCAACAATTAGAAAACCCAATTTTTACCCCATAAAACCCCCTGTAAAACACCGTTCCTATGGTCCGATCATGTTGATCATGTTGAACTCTTTCAAGTTTATTCCGCCTTACACCTTTAAACCAAATTTCATCAAAATCGGACAAAAATTACTCAAGTTATCGTGTTCACGGACACACACACACAAATATATAGGTACATATATAAAAAATTGAACGAATGGTGTTTTTTGCCTCTGGTGACATTAAAATGACAAAGTAAATAGGTCCCGGGCCTAGGTCTTACCATGCTACCTACGGTAATAGCTACTTCCCTATAGGCAAATTAGCTAAAAATGGTGTTGGTAGAAATATTCTGCAACTTATAAAATATAGCGTGTTTTTTTATTTGCTGATATAAATTTTCTGTAAATAAATTTACGTTTATTACATTATTATTTAACTTGTTTACTTACCTTATACCTAAAAACTAAAACATTGATCAGAAACACCATTTTGCATGATGTATATCAAAAGAAAGTATATAAAACCCAAAATACGGGCAGCCATTTTGAAAAATCGCCGCCATTTTGGATTATAGCAACTTTGGTTGGTGCCTCCCCATCTTATTTGCATTGCCTAACTTAAAACTACATTCCCACCAAAGGGCATACTCTTATCACAATTTGCAGTTTTCTTATGGTTTTTTTACTGTAGCTCCCCCACTATTACAGGCACAATGACAGTAAGAATCAAACAAACGTACAGATATATAAACAAGACTCGTTTCGGCTATCTTATTATATACAACGTAGAAATAACCAAACACTTCATGAGTCTACGCAATGTACAGACAAAACAGTAAAGACTTTACAATCTTATAACTAACTATCTGCCCATGCTTAGCAACGGGGTGAGAATCTTTGGGTCTCTAATTCCACCGTAAAAAAATAGTATATTTCGTACCTAGGGCCTAAAGTGAGGTTTTGCCGACTCGATATCGGGTTTTAAGTTCGGGACGAAGTCGAGAACGTGAAACGATCGAGAGCTGCAAACCCATTTTGGCTCGTGGTACGAGCGGTTTTTTTTACCCAAGTATGTTTTGCAATATAACGTCCCTCTTATTTATGTGAAATATTTTGAGGAATCAGCAAAATCAAAAATAACAATAAATAGTTGTCTAGGCAGCTGTGACAAAAAACAAGTCTATTGCAATGCCATGGATACAGCTTGTGCATTTAATATACATTAATGTTTTAAGTAAATAGGCGAACAAGTAATTTTGCGGCCCTAGGGATGTAAACCCCTGCTCGGTCCCCATATGACGATGACAGCTGGCATGGCCAGCAAAACGTAACTTTCAGCCACCAATATAAACCAGCTAAATGTATGTAAAACAGCTAAAAACATCATAGTGAGGTGAAAAATTCGTTACGCATACTTTTACATTACCATAAATTAATTATATGCATACAGAAAAAACGGAGTCATACTTATTGCGTATTTTAATGTAAACTAGTGGCTTGTAGGGACATAGTCCCTAAAAAGCTACGGAAAAGGAATTATTGTTGGAATATTTAAACAAACTCAGAATCAAATTATCTATATGTCAGGATAGGCCTAGATATCCCACTACAACATATCTTTTGTGCAAAAAAAAACAAAACAGTTTGTTGTTTGTCTTTGTTTGCTTTTGTTGATAACGTTATGTTCAATAAAGAATTTGAATGATTCCTGAGTTTAACTGCTAAAGGCAGCAAACATGTTTAAGAATAAATATTGGTTTATTAAGGTAGCTTTGGTTTTTTGGTTAATGCTGATAACAAGGCTTCCCCGATTGAAATACAGTATTGGAAATTGTCTTCGTCAAATAAGAAAAGGCAAAAAATGGTGTGTTGAGATACCCTACCCAGTTATTATTTCTAAGTCTATGCTCATTTTGTAAAGGTTTAACAAAATTATTCTTAAGTAAAGGCATCCCATTGACAGAACTTGGACCTAAATTTGTTTGTGATCAACATTAAAAAACCGCTATTAGCCTAGTGTAAGTATGTGGTGTTAATCCTCCTAAAGGTGCGATTGATTTACATATTCTACCAAAAAAGGGCCTAGTCAACGTCTAATTACCAACTATTTTGCGGCTAGTTAGGGTTCCATTACCCAGTTATCGAAACTAATCACGACATAAATATTTTTGGTTCGTTTAAATACCTGTACGAACCTACTTCATCTCTATTCCCAAATTGTTTTCTAAGAGTAACCGTTGAGGTTATTCCACTTCATACAAAATATTGATTAAACACTTCAATAAATCTCAAATATAAATGTTAGTAAATTAAAAAAAAATTGGAATAAATCTTTTACATATGTTTTGAAATAAAAACAAAGAAGATCTTCTTTTAATCTTGAATCGTTTCTTAAATCTTGAAAACAATTTATTTCAACTTTGACATTACTAAAAAGTCTTGATTATTAAAGGTAACGTTATCCCTTTATATAGTTGGTTTTATATAGTATACATTACATTGCAGAATTGACTGGCAAATGAGTAATCCAAATGTAAGCTTACTTGCTAATGATAAAATCACGATCAGCTGGATTGAAGTAAACAAAAATCAGCAGTAAATGCCTTCTAATGCTATTCTTATGGAGAAAATTGTACGTTATATCTAATTTTGTGTCAAGATTTTGGGAATTTCACTATTTTTCCCGCCGTCACGGGATAAAGACCTTTAATTTGAGCCCTCTCACGTCGTTCTACGACTTCCCAGTCGCCCACAATTTTGACGCAAAGAATCGGCTTACGTAATTTATATATAGATTCCCATGAAACTGATAATTTACCCAGCACATTAAGGCCTTTATTCCAAGTATCTCAGTTCGTAAACCATACATACAATGTGACGATAAAATATCAACAAAATAGCATGTAGTTTTATGTAATCCTCACGACATTTCATTTGGTCCATTGACTTTAAATCCAATAATTGTAAAAATTATTGGAGCTTTGAAAAAAACTTCATATAAAATCCTTACACTAATAAAAGACGACGTCATGAGCGCGGGAAATGAGCTACAGCGGCTAGGGCATAGCCACATGAATACAGAACGGAATGAAGGAACTAGAACGGAGAACTGGCAACAGCGCACGCGAGAAGTAGGGGGGGCGCACACACCGCTCAAGCACTACAACGCATTAGTGGCATCCTGTCCACACACTGTTGATATATGCCGATTTGTGGCATGGTGCCACAATTTAAAAACTGGAATGTTAGATGTTAAAATGGAGTGTTCATTAAAAATATCGATGCAGACATGTTTCTACCACCTTCCTTCATCCACTGGTGGCCGCAGGTTGAAAGATGCCACAATTAGGTGTTTGCGAGTATTCGGTAAAACCCCGTATGTGTGTGTCTGTGTGTGTGTCTGGATGTGTACAGAGCTAGGGACTACACCTGTGGTCCGATTTCAATGAAATTTGGTATGTAGGTTCTAATCCGTGGTATCTCCAGGCGTTTTTTTCATTTTTTTGAAATTTTGTTTTTTTATGGGGATTTCCCCATAAAAACCCATAAAAAACTGGAAAAATCGGATTTTCTCAAAAATGGCCCGAACGATTTTGATAAAAATTTAGTATGTTGTAGCCCTTTAAAGTCTGAACAAAATGGTACAAATCCCATTTCTGTAAAAATTATGGTTCAAAAGTTATGGTAAATTATGTTATTTTCCCATAAAAACCCCATAAAATAACAAAAAATAGGATTTTAGACAAAAATCTGGTTTTGATTTAACAGAGTATGTTATGATCCTTTCAATTTTGATAGTTTTCGTCATTTTTTAGAAAATGTTATTTTTAATGGGGATTTTCCCATAAAACCCCATAAAAAACTGGAAAAATAGGATTTTCTCAAAAATGGCCCGAACGATTTTGATAAAGATTTAGTATGTTATAGTCCTTTATATTCTGAACAAAATGGTACAAATCCCATTTCTGTAAAAATTACGGTTCAAAAGTTATGGTGGATTATGTTATTTTCCCATAAAAATCCCCATAAAATCCAAAATTGGCTAGAACAATTTTGATAAAAATTTAGTATGTTATAGTCCTTTAAATTCTGAAGAAAATTTTACAAATCCCATTTCCGTATATTTACACTTACCAACACATGAGAAAGGTTGTTGACAATCTTATGGGAGAAAGTATGTGTCAGAATGCTGATACCGTTTATTTCAGCTTAACTTAATCTAATACTAATTACCTGCACCAAAATGGCAGGTACAGGAGTCAGTTTGTCCATGTGAATGTAGGAGAAAGATTCACAAAGTTGGCCTTCTCTGGCTGCGACGTAACACAATCTACATTACACACAATTATACTTAATTATATTTCCTGTATGATACAGGCGGAAAAATAACATGAAAGTTTAATTAGTGCGTGAAAAAGTTTGGTAGTTTGAGTTACCCTAACGCAGTGGAGTGTAAGTAAATGCAAGACAAGATCAGAAAAATCCTAAAATTTTGTTATCTATTTTTGTAATTAAATTAATTGAGTTAATTTATAAATAGATCCCTAAACAACCAGACATAAAACAGTTTGAAATATTGGTCAAAATATCTCCAAGAGCAAAAAAAAAAAAAACTTACATTACTGCCCTAGGCTCTCCCTTATGTAAATGGTTACATCAGTAAATGAAAAGTTTATTTCACAAGGAGAAAAGTATAAAATATACTCTCAAATGTATTTGAAGAACTGAATTTCAAATAATAAACTTCAAGATATAACTACCTTGACGCAGCAAAAACATTGCACAATCCAGAGCCAAAAGCTGAGAATGCAACTCCGAGACAGATTACGAGCTTCCACTGGCCGAAGACCAAGTCTCCGAAAGCCTAAAGAATCATTTACATGTTTATCATTTGGAAAATCAGCTAAACAACTTTTTACCTTACAATAATACTAATGGATAATAATAATATCTGAACGATTAGAGAACCGATAAGATGTAAAACTACCTCTAAAGGATGTGTTTAGAATAAGAAGAAATTTAAGATAGAAAGATTTTATCTTTGACAGTATACAAACTACTGTGACATATTCCTAATTATTGATTTTATTATACACATATAAGTTGCATTATTATGATTTCTAGTCCTCAAACTGTAGTTCTAGCATTGTTTATGTTTAACATGTGAACTTACGACAGCGACGGCTGGTTCAGACACCATCTGAGGAATAGTAAGCATGGTGAGGTAGGCCAGGTTCATACTGAGATACAATCCCGTCACCATGGGAACTGCAATGAGGATGCTGCGGAGTACATTCCTGTACAGAATTAATCAGATATAAGAAACTCAAAAAATGTACTGGGATTAGGAGTGAACACTACTAAACCAGAAAGATAAAATTATGAAATTTTCATGGATGAGAATCGCAATCAGGATGCTGTAGGAACACTCGAATGAACCATAAAAATCAAGTATAGTACCAAATGATAGATCTAAGAAACTCAAGTTTCTCTACTCATCAACCAATTTATGAAGATAAAATCTATCAGAATACACACAGAAATGGACCACAGAGATGAAGTATATGATTGCTAATTCAAAGAACTGAGATGAGGATTCAGTTTTTTGGTCAATTGGCAACAGCTGACAAGTTTTCTTACTTGTTCGATTGGCTCCCTTAGGTGCTGCTAAAGTTTAGGAACTTTACCTGTCAGGATCCTTGATTTCTTCAGTAACACCAGTCACAATGCACCTGAAATTGTATTCAAATTACTAGATTTTTATCATCGTAATACTGCAACAAAAACAGCCGTTTTATGCGTTGTGGGACTTACATTTCCTCCCTAAAAAGTTAAAATCAGCTGTTGTAAGCTTAGTTATAAATTTAGATTATAAAGTAATCGCATGTATCAAAAGTATGTATAGATTGTTCTATTCAGTTGTGTCTTATTGTAGTATTCTTGTTGATACTGTATAGTTATAAATATCAATAGTATTTTAGTAAGTGCAATGAAAGAACACATAATTCAATAAAAATTCACCAAGATCTTATAAATATAATTTAACGTCCTCAGAAAACGTAGCCAAGGTTTTAACACTTAGGTTGCCATTTGAGTTTTCTAAGATGCACCTATAAAGAATCTATCAATTTTTATAAGTATGCTCTTTGACCTTACCATCCATCAAAAGTATAGAGGCCGCTGTAAAACGCCATGATGAGAGCTTTTGTGGAAAAATTAGTCCCTTCAAAACCCAACGGCAAATCCTTAGCCTGACCTGAAAACAGACTCTGCTTAGACCTATAAGGCTGAAAAATTCACAACCTTTAACTTAAAGTTCAGGTTGCCACCCACATTAAAAATACAATATGAAATTTAAATTATGGTTGAAACTGAAACTAGAATTTTGGAATCTAGAAACTAAAACGTAACTAATCGAATCCCGAATCTCAAAAGCTAAACGCAACACTTTTTTACTTGTCTGGTTACAAAATACAGGATTATTAAAAAAGAATGGTGAAAAACTAAACACTTGGAACATCTGTTTCCGGGATTTCAGCTGATTGTTACACTAATGGAAAGGGCGTGTTTAAGTTTGTTTTGAAAAGGTTATTTTTGTCTCAGTTGCTTGGTTGTGAGTACCATGAAGCATGTAAACAAAATCAAAGAATATCCACAAGAATCGAAGCTATCATGCGTTTTGGCTTATCAGTATGCTTCAATGCTTTTAATAACTTCAGTTTGTACGAGTTGTGTCCCAAATGTCTGCGTAAAACCGAAGTACGTGAAGTTCCTACCAGCTTTGACTGTCGAGGTTTTTGACTCTGTGAAAACTCAGTTTAGATTATCTCCACAGCGTCTGGCGAAGTGTTATGACGGCCCAAACTCTTACCGGCACACTAAAATCCAGTTGTCTTAAATTGTCTCATCCAGGGGTTGTTCTACTTTAGCTTTTTTTACCATTGAACTGTTGTTTTAAAACTTATAACCTAGCAGAGGGACAAAAGGCAACTAAAGACTAATTTTCTTTATGGCTTTGCCCCTTTAGCATTTGATTAAGTTCTATAGTTTCTTTTCAAAACTAAAGATGCTGACCAAGTTGTAATTTAACAGCTGATTCTTTAACCACAGTGAATTTGTAAATAAGAGAGGAAACAAATTTTAAACTTTATCAAAATGAGTAATTTGTGCATGGGTCCCCTCGTGAAACTTAAATCAATTAAGTTAAATGTTACAATGATACATATAGTACATAGGCAGTAGTATGTTTGTAGGTGGCAACCTTGGCTCTCTGAAGGTAAATACCTGTGAGTTGGACATAGACGGCTCCTAGGATGACCATGGCGCAGATGCTCAACTTGAGGTAGGAGAACAGGTTCTGGACACTCACGTACAACTTGACACTAACTAGGTTGATGTAGCCCATGATTCCTGCAGAGTAAATACAATATAGCCAAACGAAGCAACAACAGATATTTAAGTTTCTTTCTTACACACCTCACTGAGACAGTGCTGAACTTTATATATGTATTTTAAGCTGAATATAGGATGTAGAATGGAGGGGATGATACCATGACGGGACCGGGCCATGGTGGGAACGGCCAAAAGGTCGGATATCGGGAGGAACATAACCTGCAGTCTCCGCGACATCGGTAATCGTCTCCCGCTACTGCGGCAACACCCGTTAGCAAAACCATAGACTAATCAACACAAGTAGACTCCTCATCCCATTGTACATTTTGAAGCTTGTTTTTTGTGTCTAGTTCATGTACGTCCACACAGATCACTAGTGTAGACAAAATTTTGTTTCTATTATTTTAGGGTTATTTTCATGATTTGTGCTTTACTATTTGGTTATATGACTAGTAGACCAGTTATTGTTTATGATTATGCAGTTTTATTTGGTTAAACGATGTTTTAAATGACTGGAATATCAAGAAACAAATTGTAAACAAAACATAACCTCTACAGTTGGACGTACAGAACTAACAATAAAATTGGCTTCAGCTGTTCCATAAGGATGACAAATCTACTAAGGGAGTATGTTTTATCTATGGCAAAACTTTCAGTTTCCGTGACTTAAGCAATCGTTTCCTGCAACAGGGGCAGCTCCGGTTATTGGCGCCAATGGTGCTCTTCTGCCGTTATTACGGCAACATCCGCAATCGGCCTTTCAGTCAACTGATTGCACTGGGAGTTATCACCCAGACAGGAAACATGTGGACGGTCGGATATCCCGAGGAGTAATTTATTCCGAGGTCGGATGTGAAGGGTTCTACTGTAGCTTTGTTACTGACAAAGTTGTTTCTTTGTTTTTTTTAAATACTGACTGATGTCTCTTTAGCCAGGTTAATTTCTGAAAAGCTCAAAAATAAAAAGTTTTCTACCTTATTGTTTTTTTTTTATAAAAGTTGTTGGGTCATATCAGTTGCTATATCTTATTCTTATTCATTATATTAGCGGTAAAATAGTTAGTGTATTCAACAAAAATTAGTAATTTAGAATGCCACCGACAGCTTGCATCAATAGTCAAAGATCATTGTTTGGATAAGCTGTAGTTATAAGTTTACTTAAACTTATTGAGCAATAGAATGTTTACCCCAAATTTTACAACATTAAAATCTTAAACCATTTTTTATTTAAAAGGTCTGGGTTTGAAAAAAAAACAACACACTTACCCAGAGCGAGAAACCGAATAAGAAACTTGACATTGTCTTCAGTAACTTCGTCTAAATCAGCATTGAACATAGAGACCAAAGGTTGGTGGATGTACTCAGTGAAGGTGTAGCAGAAGATAGCAAGAGTGGCTGGGTAGACGACCAACACGTTGATCCATACGTAGATGAACCCTGTGATTGGTCCGTAGAAAGGATGAAGATCTCTGAACGCAGCTTGGAAGAAGGCGTATTGACCACCTGATTTGGGGATCACCATACCGAGCTCTGCAAAGGCAAGGGCCCCTGCAAGTTTAAATGAAAAATTTTTCAGAATAATTTTAAGTTATTTTAACTATACAGAGTTGTTGATTATTTTGGAGTAACTATTTTTTCCTCCTTGCAAAGAAGGATTTGTTGATTTATTCGCTACCTAGAAGTTTATTTTTCAGTGATGGTAGCTCTCTTTTAATTGAGGTGTTATTGCAAATACTTTCTATGATGATAAAAAAAAAACAAAAAAAAAACAGTATTCATGAATCTGATCCTGTTCTCACCTGGGAGAAGATCAGGTAAAAGATCCCGAAACATTGTAATAAGTTATTTTACAAAACATGATGGAAAACGTCCGAAACTATCCCACAAATAAAACGTCACCTTCACACATAATTCCAGTGCTCGATTTGTGGGGGAGCACGGCAGAACAGAGTTCCGGTACTTCTATTTTGGAAAGATAAAAATATTGGCATAAATAGGTACTACTTACATTAAATAGGTTACAGTTCCGGCACCTCATTATTTACAACTTGAGCACTGCATAAATCTAATTATTTATAAATAAGTTGGACAAATATATGGCTTGACAAATATTGTTAATGGATTCTACTGAATGTTGATGGTCTTCTGTTAAGTTCACACTACTCTCTGTGTAAGATTGTAGAATTTATCCATTTATCTGCAATATTTATACGTAACATTAAACAGTATGGGTCAACATTTTTTATTGGTTATGTTAGGTTTTAAAAAGTCAGCAAAGTTGTAACAATTCAACCAACAATTTACTATCCACAAAAAGATTGTATAATCTCTAATCAGAAGTGCAAGAATAGCACTAGAGCGATTAGGATACTCTCTTCTAGTACTGGTACCAGTATTTATTTTTATTATTTTTACTTTTTTCAACACTCATTTCACTATAAAACTTTGTGATAAAGACACTTTTAAAAGTACCTAATAAGGAACGGGACACAAACATTGTTACCTAAATTATTAATAAACATGTTTGTCTATCGGCGCCCAACTTACCTAGAACTGAGATACCTCCGCAGATGGCCCAAATTACCAAACTCATTCCAACTGATCCGGCGTGGATGAGAACTATTCCAGGCGTAACAAATATCCCTGAACCTGTAATATCGAAGATATTGTGTTCCTTGAATATCCAATGATTAAATAAGTAAAATTGAATTAAGTAAGTGCCAATAGGAATATTATATGGAAAATGAGTGTTGAACGAATTAAGCTTTTATTGACGGAGATCAGCTGTTTTTTAGCCAAGACCACCTCAAAAAGCTACTAGCATATATCAGGATCTAACCAGCATAGGCTTGCTCCGTTAAGAAGACAAGCACCAGCGGTCGCGGAAAAATAAGGGTCGCTTACCAATATTCCCCACTACACCACTGACAAGCACCATATCTATTCAGCTGGCAGAGGCATTAGATGTAAGGATTTAATAATAGGTAATTATTTATACGATGGAAAACAAAATAGGTTATAGAAATTAATCCATGTTGTTTGAATTTTTACTATAATAGTTGGATTGATGTCAGTCTGAAAGGACCTGATTGTCTTCTTGGGATGTAAAAAGTGTATCATAAAGAGGAAGGATGGACTTGTAATGAGGGAGTGGAGGAGGATGCTAAATTAGTTCAAGAAAGTCTACAGATAGGTACCTATGTGTTTCAAGAAATAGTTCCTGAAGGTAAAGATCTTTCTGACAAAAAATTTAATTATCTGAGTATGATAATGAAAAGTCATAGAGCTCAGATTTAAAATCAAGATAAATGCTAAAGAGAATATAGACTCAGAAATTCGTAATCTTCAATTTTGGACTTTGGTTCCATATATGTTTGATAAATCGGATGTAAACAATACAAATCTTAACTGTAGAACTTATTCTACGCTCACCTTAAAATCTTTATTCATTTACAAACTGTATCAAGTAATTTTAAACTACTCACCGATTGTTCCGTTGACTATGAGGTTAACAGATGCCACAAGACTTAGTTCTCGCTTCAGCTGGGGGGCTTTAGGCTTAAACAGGATGTTGCTAAGCCTCTCGATGCTTCTGCGCATAATATCGATGCCGGGAACACTCAGACGACTGGTCAAACTGGATATGCTTTGCGTGATGTTGTGAACATTGAGGCGCGACATGTTGGGGGAACCCTAATAGATTGTGCTGAAACACTGAAAGAATGTGCTGGAAACACTAACTCAATGTGCAGAAAACACTGACTGAATGTCCAGGAAACACTAACTGAATGTGCGGGAACACTAACAGAATGTGGAGGAACACTAACGGAATGTATGGGGAACACTAACTGAATGTCCAGGAAACACTAACTGAATGTCCAGGAAACACTAACAGAATGTGCAGGAACACTAACTGAATATGCAGGAACACTAACAGAATGTAGGGGAAACACTAACAGAATATGCGGGAAGCACTAATGGAATGCCTAGGCCATAGAACCACAAAGAGAATTTTTGGGAACACTAACAGAATGTCCAGGAAACACTAACAGAATGTGCAGAAACTTTAATGAAATGTCCAGGAACACTAAGACAACATACGGGGTAAAGGCTGATTGGAAACGCTAACAAGTCACTGCATCACTGATCCAAAGATTTCTATCGGTTATACAGACTTTCCAACTCTCCATCATTATCAGATCTTGTGATAGCACAGATCAACAGATAGCGATCGGCCTTCAACTTGTTATAGCTTTTTATGTAAGAAAAGCCAACCAAATACCTTGTAGCTATGAAAATAGTATTTAGCTATTTGTTTGATAGCTAGTTGCACACTTATTTTGAATTCCACCTAAAAAATGTTTTTTCTTTACATAACTTCAACTCCATTAATGACAACATTGGTTTTATAATGTTACATTTTTTGCAAAAACATTGAACAAGATTAGACGTTACTGAATTTAAGATCAAGAGAAAATATGAATATAAGCCGGTTTCTACAATGCTTATGAACTGCTTTACTTTGTCATCATATTTAGGAAGAGAGGAGGAAACATTGACTCCTTAAAGGGGACTCCTAAAAAAAAATTTTCATAATTCTTTTACCATCGTTGCAGTTTCAGTTATGTATGACTTTAGGTACGGCGCATGGTAGAAAATGAGCATGATGTTTGAAAGACTTCTTGTCGTGGTTGTGGAGTATGTTATTTATATCAAAATTAAATACATTTTTGCAAATGGACACTGAGAATGAATTAGTATATTTTATTTTGGCTACAACAAAGTCAAGCTAATGTCACAATACTGCCAGAAAATATGCCGATGATTTCAGATTTGACAAGACGTAAAAACATACACTTTTAGATATACTTTTTCAGTAAAAGTTTGCTACTTGTGAATGTTACTATTTTTTCTGTCATTGTTGGCGTTGACACAAATATTGGACATATTCTCTCCACTTACAGCCCAAAAGTGATAATAACAATTATTGCATGAAAAACTTTGACATTGGTAAAAAACTTAACACTTGCCATTTTATAAAGTTTCAGAAAAAATTTTAATAAATAATTTATTAGCAGATTCATAATAAAATACAGTCAATAATAAATTGTAGTAATAAGTAGAATGTATAAAAAAATATAAGATGTATAAATTAATGGAGGCTTATGGATAAATAATCATGAGTAAAATGTGATGTACAATTTTTAAAACTATAAAACTATTAATAATTATATAAAATATCCATGATTTACAATGGTTAACTATAGTCCAAATTACATTTAACACTGTCTTGGAAGGTAAAACCTTGATTACAAGAGCTTATTAGATATCAAACTGTTAAAACACAGTATATATAATCAATTTATGTTTAAACAAATTCTTAAAAAATACAAAAGTACCAGCAATAATGTATAAACTACAATGCAACTGTACAGTATAAAAGATAAATTATCACAAGTAAAAAGATGATCTGTAACAAAAAACAATAACAAATTTTGTCTAGATTCAATAAATATTAGCTTTTGACATAAGGCAGCCAAGCAGGAAAATGGGTCAAAATGCACAAAGTTTGAACAGGCTTTTTGCTAATATTTCGTTCAATGATTTCAACAACAGTTGCAATGGTAACTGAAGATTTTACTGAGCAACAATCAGGATAACAATCGGGAGTAATGTCTAAAACAGCAACCAAAGATTGATACTCAATGGGGTACAAGAGTACAAAATCTTTTTTATTCCCTATGCATGTTAACCTAACGTCATCAATAAACTGACTTATGACACTGATAGCAGCTTTGTATTGTCCATACAATTTTACACTTTCCTGTAAAACCTCATTAAAAATACTTGTAACTGCACAAAATATCCTTGATGAATTACAGCTCCACTGCAAAATTCTTTCATATCTTAAGTCCCTTAATGGACGGTGACTGTTGAGTTGAACTGATTGCGTAAACACTTCAAGAACGTCTTTTTCCAAGAAGTAACAGTGATGAGAAATAACATCTTCAATTGTGGAAATTGTGAAGTGCTTCAATCCTAAAAAAGTATTGATATAAACAATATAAAGTTATGTATTGGTCAAAAATAGTTTTTTACTTTGAATAGAAATGCATCTCAGTTCGTACCGAAAGTGAGAGAAGTAGTCATTGTCAATTTTTTTCAGCTAGCCTACTGAATCTTATTTGATCTAATCATAATACATGATAATTAGGCCTACATTCTTTAATACCTAAAAATCCATTGTAAATACAAACAAGTAAATGTAAAAGAAAAAATTTTAATGCTAAAAAAATGTATTTTGTTTGTATTAACAAAAATCTTTTCTTACCACTGCAGTATAAACAGCCGTTTTTAAAACATGCATTGCAGGTCTAAGCATTTTTACTCTCTAGGGAGTAAAAATCATCTGTTGTAAACAGTTGTAAATTTCAACTGTGGCAATCGTATCGATCAAAATTATTTATCGATTGATTTATTAGGTAAGGTTTTGGCCTATTGTTGTTGATTGTTCGACATATCGATGGTATAATGTACTGTAATACAATCGTTATAGATGAATTGATTGAATCATTTCCTAACAGGTTATCTTTACATAAAAATTATTTTGTTTTATAGCTTTGTTTGCTGATGCTATTTATGACGAAAAATATAGTTCACCACACGGGCAAAAAATTACTTTCTATTCCTCGCTCATTTCCCGACCTCGGGAATCGTAAACTTAACCTTGGGTCAAAAAGAGTTACTTTAGGCCCTAGTGATGAAATACAATACAATGAAATATAATTGTAAAATATACTAAATTACAATTTTATATAGGTATATATATACAAATATTAAAATATTTTATATATTTAAAAATATATATTAATATATTTTATATATTTATTTTAAATATTTACAATTTTTTAATACCTAAATAGATTTTAGGCTATATCAGCTAAATCCTGAAAAGAAGGCGAAGGACAAATTTTTATTCAAGTTACCTGAATAATTCCACAATTGGGCAAGAAAGTGATTTCTCTCTTCTGAGGGTTCCATACTTATTGCAAGTTTTGCTATCCTTTCCAATACTTCGTTACAATGTTTTTCTTGTTCTAAAATATCACAGTTGCTGATGATTGCAAGGCCGACAGAGAGACTGAGCGCTGACTCACTACTAATTACCTTGAGAATACGCCTGAGATTTTGTGATGGGGTAAACAATGAGCAGCCACATTCTCTAAGACCACACATGATGCGAAGTTGCCTCTAAAACAATAACGGAAAATACATAGTTATTGGGTACAGCACAACGAAGATAAAAATTAAAAGAAAAATTAATTTGATACCTTTCGCTAGCTTGAATTTCTTACTGTAGAAGATAGTGGATGTAGGCCTATCCCATTATGTCCTTCAGCGGCAGAAGGAACTGACCAAAATGATACATTGGTTTGACTCATGGTGGAAGGAAAAAGGCACTTTGGTACTACATATACCAAGGCCACCCTTATACAGCGCTTACACAGCTTATAGAAAATATGACTCATCTGGTATCCTTAGATTCATAATGAATCGAGGAAAGTCCTACAAACATATTTATGATAACCCAATCTAACATAACCGCCGCAGCGTGCTGTAAAATTTATGGCCTCCGTATAATACCAAATTATCTAATTGCCTATATTATTTGAAATGCCCTGTTGCTGTCAAATAAGCATGGAGTTTTTCTGCTGACTTCTTCTACCAGTTTGACAGAAACTACAAGACATTCTACTACGGCGATCCATTAGAAGATTGGTTAAGAAATAAAGCTTGTCTTCAAAATTTCAACTATTCGATAAACATTATTCCTTATTTTTTAAACCTCTCAGTGCTAATTTTCAAACCTACCTACTGCAGAAGTACGTATAGTCAATACTGATGATAGTAGGTGGATGATTATTTAACATAAAAACACTGAGACGGTAAGGTGAAGGTGTTAGTCACATCCAATGCTAAAGGCTAAAAGACCAAAACCCGTGTTAGTTAGGACACCCCATGTATTAGATAACCAGATATAAATTATACACTTACCAAAGACTTGCTTTCTTCTGCATTCAAGCCATCTTGGAGATTATCACATACATCTTTGCAAAGACTTTCAATTTCTTTAGTGTTCATCTTCTTTGTCCATTCGGAATATTGAGTTCAAATAGGTCCTAAAAACACAAAATTAAATACAAAATAACATAATAAATAATATAAGCTTAGGCTTATATTAACTTAGTTACCACAAGCCAGTGATGACAGTGTTCCTTCTTTACCTGTCATGTAGAAGACTGAGACAATAACTGCTCTTTTAGACTAATAGACACCCTGATATAAAAAAAAGCTAGCGATTAGTACCTAGGCCTACACCGGTTTGAGAGATCTCAGCCTCAAATTGCAGTAGGCTTACAGAGTTGCTTACTTAAGTCTAAGTTTAACAGACCTCAGCTCAACCACGCCAAGGTCAATCAGTTGTAACAACTTTCTGATGCAAAATTCACTTCTAAATGACCGATGTTTTGATATTACATGCTAAAAGACTTTGGCTTAAACCTTAAATGAAAAATATGAAAACCCAACAGTGATAAATTATAGAAATGTAAGGAATATGTGGGATGTCGACGCTTATATTGAGCCGTATTAATAAAGATGAGGTAAACCTTTTACTTGCGAAAATTCAAGCAAATCCTTCAATCTGTATTAATAAAAATTAAAGCAAAACCTTTTGCTTTAGAAGTAAAAGGTAATCTATAGAAATTTGAGGTTTTGCTCATGACTTGAGTAAATGGTTATTAATAAAACTCACCATTTACTTTTTCTTTGAAGTAAATCCTTCAAAAATGATGCATCTGATCAGTAGCAGATTATACGTTTAAGTAAAAGGTGTGTGGTGGTTTTAGTGTGGTGCTAAATTTTAGCGAATTTCCTAAATAGGGCAAAAGCTATTCCGTAGGTCTCATGGTAAGACCTAGACCCATGAACCATTTACTTTTCCGTTTTCAGGTCCCCAGAGGCCAAAAACCTCCTCCGTTCAAATTCATATACATGTTTGCCCGTTAGCACGATAACTCGAGCAAAGGTGATCCGATTTTGATTAAATTTGGTGCAAACGTGTAAACCTACGTTTATTCTAAGGGATTCGCGAATCAGCATAATAGGATATGGAAACGATGGTTTATGAGTGGTTTTATAGGGTAATTGGATTTTAACATTTTTTACCCTAAAAACATAGATTTTAGCAACTTCTTTCCACGCCATTTTGTAGAGTTTAAAAAAAACTATTAATTTAGTATATCAAAGTGATATTATGTGCCTAATGGCTACGGAGAAAAAAAAAATGTAAATTTAAAATTTCCATGTTATTTTTATGGAGACATTTTTAAACTGTTGTAGTTTTCTTGTTTATGAGCATTTTTTGATCAAATTTGCATTCTATCATACTAAACTATTACATTTTATAAAAAAAACCTTTTTACCCTCCCTGTAGCAGTAAACCTAAGTACTCAGTTAAACTAAAGCTATTTAAATAGGGAATGGATGTGATATTGGAGACATTTTAGAGTACATCCAATCAGGCAAATGGAAATTTACTTAGTCTGCAGGTTTGCTGTGGCGGGAGTATTTTGTTTACCTCCTACAAAGCTATCAACATTTCAATAAAAACACACCTCAACACCTTCTTTGAATCAGCAAACTTAGGTACTCATTAAAATTAATATGGTTTGAATAGGAAATAAATCTGACAATTTTCAGGGAATATTTTAGAAGAAATCCAGCCAGAAAAGGAAATTTATTTAGTCTGCAGCTGCGGCGAGGGTTTCTGTGGTTATACAGTACTGCATGCTATCTACAAAGTGACAAATAGCATATGTTTAGTATTCATTTGTTTAAGTTGTGTTTGTAAATAATTACAAAACTAATCACAAAGCATATATGATGATTTCAATAAACAAATTTATTATGTACCCGACTAACTATTATCATCAACCAAATTCTATGTCTAGAAAGGGGTTAAGATTCTAGGGGTAAAATCCGGGGTAAAATTCCGGCCCACACACTCTAGATTTTATAATTTAGTTTGTTATGATTAAATTTAAAGCCAGATGCCAAACCATTACACGGAGTTGGCACAGTTAAGCCTTCGTGGGATATCAGTAGACAAAAATAGACAGGACCAGACGTGTAACATGTGATGTTCCTAAAGAACCATTTACTTCCGAGCAGAAGGATTTGCTCGGAAGTAAAAGGTAATCATTATTAATACGGTTTGAAGGATATGATTTTACTTTTACCTTTTACTAGAAGCAAATGCTTTTGCTTCATACCTTTTCCTTTTGAGCATATCCTTCTTTTTATTAATACGGCTCAATATGTCCCTCCCTATGATGACCATGAATTGAACATTGATTAAGTTATTGAGCCGTATTAATAAAGATGAGGTAAACCTTTTACTTGCGAAAATTCGAGCAAATCCTTCAATCTGTATTAATAAAAACTAAAGCAAAACCTTTTGCTTTAGAAGTAAAAGGTAATCTATAGAAATTTGAGGTTTTGCTCATGACTTGAGTAAATGGTTATTAATAAAACTGACCATTTACTTTTTCTTTGAAGTAAATCCTTCAAAAATGATGCATCTGATCAGTAGCAGATTATACGTTTAAGTAAAAGGTGTGTGGTGGTTTTACAGTGTGGTGCTAAATTTTAGCGAATTTCCTAAATAGGGAAAAAGCTATTCCGTAGGTCTCGTGGTAAGACCTAGACCCATGACCCATTTACTTTTCCGTTTTCAGGTCCCCAGAGGCCAAAAACCTCCTCCATTCAAATTCATATATATGTGTGCCCGTTAGCACAACAACTCAAGCAAAAGTGATCCGATTTTGATTAAATTTGGTGCAAACGTATAAACCTACGTTTATTCTAAGGGATTCGCGAATCAGCATAATATGATATGGAAACAGGGGTTTATGGGCGGTTTTATGGGGTAAAAATTGGATTTTAACATTTTTTACCCTTAAAAGATAGAATTTAGCAACTTCTTTCCAAGCCATTTTGTAGATCGAAGCTATATTATGCACCTAATAATGGCTACGGAGAAAATTCAAACAAATTATAAATTTAAAATTTCCATGTAATTTTTATGGAGAAATTTTTAAACTGTTGTAGTTTTCTTGTTTATGAGTATTTTTTGATCAAATTTGCATTCATTTCATACTAAACTATTACATTTTACAACAAAAAAAAAACACCTTTTTACCCTCCCTGTAGCAGTAAACCTAAGTACTCAGTTAAACTAAAGCTATTTAAATAGGGAATGAATGTGATATTGGAGACATTTTAGGTAACATCCAATCAGGCAAATGGAAATTTACTTAGTCTGCAGGTTTGCTGTGGCGGGAGTATATTTGTTACCTCCTACTAAGCTATCAATATTTCAATAAAAACACACCTCAATACCTTCCTTGAATCAGCAAACCTAGTTACTCATTAAAATTAATATTATTTAAATAGGAAATAAATCTGACAATTTTCAGGGAATATTTTAGAAGAAATCCAGCCAGGTAAAAGGAAATTTGTTTAGTCTGCAGCTGCGGCGAGGGTACCTGTGGTTATACAGTACTGCATGCTATCTACAAAGCAACATTTTGGAAAATATGTATAATCTATGGTATAATATGATGATTTCTATAAACAAATTTATTATGTACTTGTACCCGACTAACTATTGTCATCAACCAAATTCTATGTCTAGAAAGGGGTTTAAGATTCTGGGGGTAAAATCCGGGGTAAAATTCCGGCCCACTAGATTTTATAATTTAGTTTGTTATGGTTAAATTCAAAGCCGGATGCAAAACCATTACACGGAGTTGGAACAGCTAAGCCTTCAAGGGATATCAGTAGACAAAAATAGACAGGATCAGACGTGTAACATGTGATGTTACTAAAGAACCATTTACTTCCGAGCAGAAGGATTTGCCGTAAGTAAAAGGTAATCATTATTAATACGGTTTGAAGGATATGCTTTTACTTTTACCTTTTACTAGAAGCAAATGCTTTTGCTTCATACCTTTTCCTTTTGAGCATATCCTTCTTTTTATTAATACGGCTCATTGTATATAAATCAATGAAATGGGGTTTCTGTTGGAAATAAATAAATGAATCAATAGGTAGACTAGTTAACTTAAGCCTTTCAGTGCTAATGTACGTGACAATATATCGTTGGGCGTCTTTTTTCTGAAAAGTGCTAACTTATGGAACGATCTATCGTTGTACGCGTTTCATCCGAAAAGTGCTAAGTGACAATATATCGTGCCCGCGCGATTTTTGATCTCGTTTGAGTTTAGATGGGCATTGGTTGACTCGGGTGTTGTTTTGAAACAGCAATGGTATTTTTCGATTTCTCATAGGCCTACGACTGAGACATGATATATCGTTCCTTAGCGCTTTTGAGATAATGTTAGGCTAAACAATTTTATTTAAAAAATGTTTTTCTCGCACACAAGACTTTGCCCCCGTGGCAAGCCTAGAACTTTTCAGACAAAATATGTAAAAAACTCATTTTTAGGAAAATTACAAAAAAAATCTAGCATTGAAAGGGTTAACTTAAACCTCTTGTTGCACTAGGCCAGGGTAGCTTGAATATAAGAATTAACTGTGATTAATTGGGTTTAGATAAACGGATATTGGAAAAAGTATACCTAACTAAATTTCAAATAACATAAGAAAGTGTATACTTATGAGTTAAATATCACAAAATGTTTATTAGGCCTATGGGCCTGGTCATCAAATTGAATGTAGGCTATTCATTGACGGATCTCAGTAGCCCAATGTATCAGTTAGTAGATAATATAAATAACTGATATAATTACCACTCATGTAAACTATACCTTGTTAACAAATTTACTACGATAAGACAACTGTTAAGCAATTGAAAACAAAAACATTTAAAGATCACCACTTTTAAATTTGAATTTGAAAGTTTGAGGTTATGTGTTTCATTGGACTAACTGACAGACAGGACCGACTGACCAGTGTTTCCATCCGCAAGAAAAAAATATCCCTGGGCCAACGTCAAAAAATCCCTAGTTATCCCTAGTCCGTGTTCTAATAATCCCTCCAATTATCCCTCTTCGTCAAATCTAGATAACTTATTATTTTTGCAGCAATGCCAATGGATATCATGAATAGCCACCTAAATTATGGTAACTGGTGATAGTATTCTTCAATATCCCATATTATTTATAAAGTAATACTATATAAAAAACATTTTTGTACCATTAAAACCACGGCCATCTTTAACTCCAGGCAGGCCGCGGCCTGGTAGATTTGGCAACGTTGCAAGTACCGTAGTATTGTTTAGCGCAAGACGTCCTATAAGTTAACATGGAAATAAAACATAATAGAATCGAAAATCAAAGCAATATAATTTGAAAATCTATTTCTGTACATTCAATGTGGAGTCAACATTTTCATAGCCCAGTAACCAAGCTTTCGTATTCTTAAAAAAATACATAAATATCATTAGCTTAGTGTTCTCCAATCAAACACCTTTTACAACACTATACTTGAAACGTTGCCACTTCGAAGGCCGCGGCCTCCGGCCTGGAATTAAAGGTAGCCGTGATTAAAAACTGTCTATGTTGTACAAAACAAGATTAATTAATTAAAAAATGAAACAAATAGTTACTTTTAAAATTTTATAAACTAATAATTTTTATTTATAAGTATTTACAATTGTTTCAAAAATATTACTCAAGTGTCCAAATTTCAAACTTAATTGTCTTTTTCAAACATCGCCACCATGCCTTGGTGAAAAGGTTAAACCAAGTTACTTACTAACCAAAAAACATTACAGAAATCACCGGAAAACAAAATCAAAACGAAAACAAACATTCGACATTGACACAGGGCACAGGGCTACTAAGAAAGAAACGAATTACAACAGTAATCTAGATCTGCCATTCCATTCCACCGATCGACTCCAGCCCTTATTTGCTTGTTTCGTTTCGTGCAGTGTTGGCTGTTTCTCTTCCCTTGTGTGTTCCGACTTTGAAACACTACGTCACTACCACTACCTACAACCATAGATAAAACATACTCCTTGAGGAGTATCTTCTATCTATTATGCTACAATCGATTTGTTACCAAAACCTAGGGAAAAAGTAGTATAATAAATGTGTTATCAATACCTTGCAAAATTAGCCAAAATAGGTCCTTAACGTTGTTTAAATACAGCCATCATAACGTATTATTTTATCAATATTTCAATTTTATAATGTCAAAGGCCTGAAATCCCTAGAAAATCTAAAAAACCTCCAATTTCGCTGATTATCCCTAGTTATCCCTCAATCCCTTTTCAATCCCTCGAAGGCCCTAAATATCCCTAGAAAGGGATTTTTATCCCTCAAATGGAAACACTGCGACTGACATCTACGCAGTGTGTCCACAGGGGTACCACATTTTTGTACTAAATTTCCCTGAAAAATGTACAAGATTCCCTATTGTAGGTACAAGATCTTACAAAAGATAGAGTAATGCTACTTTATGGCTCTCTTTGTTATACAATAGAGACTAACCCAAGTTTTTTCGACGTTTTTATCCTTGTCGTGGTGGCACCTTGACGGTCTCCCATAGAAATACAACCATTAAATTAATCAGGCCTCCTCTCGACCTTCTCACTAAAACTTATAGTTCTAATTTTTTTATAAAGAGGGTTAGGGTTCACTTACTCTACGAATCATTGACACAATGAGCCTCCAAATATGTAATTCTTAAAACACATGGCTCACTTACTCTACAAATCATAGTCTATACGAGCTTCGTAAATAATATTGAAGGTTCACTTGCACTACAGGCTCGTATACTATACGAGCCGATCAAAAATATCAAATAAATGAAGAGGGTTCACTTACTCTACAGATCATAGTGCCTATGAGCCAAGCGTATGAATTCTTGAATAATTCAGGAATAAGCTCGTATAGTATACGAGCCAAAATACTGAATTTAAATAAATTACAGGAGTAGGCTCGTATACTATACGAGCCTATTTCATGATAACTATTACACAAATAGAAGACGGCTCACTTACTCTACAGTTCATTGGCACAATGATCTGTAGAGTAAGTGAACCCTCTACAAATATTAGAAGGCTCACTTACTCTACTGTGGGCGAGAGTTAAGAAGTCCTCTGAGCCAGAGTGATATGCAGCAATGTTTGTATGTTGCTGCGCGGTATTTGCAGGAGCTCTTTTGGTTTTAACGCAGTGGATGTGAGCCCTGACTGCCGCGTGGGACATGAGTAACCCACCCGGCACGCCTAGCCGTCGAGTAGCAAGCGCCTGCATTTTTAGGATAGGCCAGGACTCAGAGGACTTCTTAACTCTCGCCTACAGTACGGTTCATTTAGCTACTCGTCGCGCGGTTTGCAGCGCATCGTTGCAGGCGTGTATGGTAAACCAATACCGCAGTTCTGCCGTTCTGCCTTACTTCTGCCGTTTACTAGTCTTGCAGCGTGAAAGAGTGCTTGTTATGTTAATACATTGTTGAATTTTTAACTTGTGTACTCGTTGCTAGAAATCAAGCAATTATCAAGTACCGGTATTACAGGAGCTATTTTAGGAGTTATTACAGACTTAATTTTCAATTAATTAAAAAGACTCACGTAAAAGCTTATGCAACTAATGGAATTACTTACTGTGTTATGAACATTTCTATATAATTAAAGTTGTTAATATTTTAAAATTGTTTAGAAGATTGCCTTTTTAGTGTTTTCTACAAACGTGTCTCAACTTAAACACATAGCCGCATTAATGTTAATGTGCATGTGCATTTTCACCAATGATAATGTACCAATGTCGACCGTACCAATGTCTAAAATTTACTTTCAAATGGATTTGTTGTTAAATTTTTTTATATTTATACATCATACATAATTTAAACGTTTTTACGTGACAAAATAACGAAATATAACAAGCTACATTACATACAATATAATTTAGGCTTGAGCTAATGGAAAACTGTAGTTTTCGCATACTTGTCTTAACTTACAGATTGAATTACATCCTTTGTTTACCAAACAAGATATTTACATTTATTGAAAAAATAACACTTAGACAGATCAATAATTGTAAATTACGATGACAACTGCATTTACATAACAATCATTATACAAAAAAGTATGTTTTTGTGACAAAGAGGTCAAATAGAAATTTCTTTTAGAACTATATAATTTATAAAGACCGGCATTTTACAGTAATATGGTTTACAGTACTTATTAATTGCGCAGTTGTTAAATGTCCTTATAAACATATGGAAATTAAAAATTTAAATTATTAAATCATTTTCTTTACAAACTCATGAAAAATACAAAACGCTCGCTGACCCCTCATAGGAATGAAAAGTAAAGATGATCGCAAGATCTCAAGTTCAAGTCACGTTCTCATGGGCAAAGACCTGGCTGAGAACAAGCCAGGCATAGATTGAATTTCGATTTTAATGATTAAAGTGTAAAAAAATTTGTCTGATCTGTAGTTTTGCAAAGTGTTTTTAAATTTTTGAAATCTTTATTAGTTTGGGCAGGATTATTCATCAAAGTTAGGTTTTCTCCCATAAGATTAACATGGAGGAATCTAAATATTTAATTGGAAACTTTGTGTCCACTAATTCGAGAGAACGGTTGGGCGTAGAAACTTGGTAGAGGTGTCCAAATAAAGGTCTTGGTCTGTAGATGAGTTATCAGAAGAAAAACTAAGTAAATTCCCTTAGGGCTCTGCCCCAGAAGCCTTTAAAGATCCCTCCACAGATTTGTTTACATTTTGGTCATGTGGATAATACTTTTTAATGAAACAGCTGTTAATTTTTAAACTGTATTTTAAACAACACACATTTATTAGGAGTTACTGAACTGTCCAAAAGAAGTATTTGCAACGTTATTTTCGGTGTGTAATAGCTATTTACTTTACAAGTGTAGTAAGAGTGTTTTTACATCACGCAGGTGAAGGTTGTACAACGAGCGGAAGCGAGTTGCATAATTTACCTAAGTGATGTATAAACACGCTAACGTACAAGATTTTACCTGACCCGACAATATACAGGAGGTTACGAACAATATTAATCATTATCCATTTCACTCGTCTTCTAACAGTAACGTTCATTTACAAACAAAAGCTAGGTTAGGAAAATTCTTCAAAACATAACAATAAAATTCAAGAGCACAGCTGATTTCTAGCGTTGAACGTCGTTGGCTCCATAGAGGTATATTTTTTAAGTTAATCACTCAATGTTATTTAAATGGGTTTCATTACATCACTGAGTGAGTTTTTGATGCTTTACATCACTCGAGAAGTAAGGAAGTTGTATACATCACGCTTGGGATAGGGAAGTTTAACATGGCGGGTTAGGTAAAATTAATTTTCTTCTGTATCATGTCATGTTTTTCAATATAACGTTTCATTACGAAATCAGTTAAAAATCCTTTTACCACAGTAACTCTTTCAATTATTTCTTATTGAACTATCTTATATCTATTGTACGGGTTGCTGTTTGCCTTTTTCACCACTTTTGTCTATATTTTATCATATTATCTTTGACTATCAATGATATTATTCTAGACAGATCATCATAGGTTCATGAAATTATTGTCATATATGTTTTCAAACGTTGGAAAAATCTTCGATTGTGTAATACAATACACAATAATACAAGTGCAAAAGGACACGTTGCCCATATGAGCCGTGTCCATATTTTGTTAAATGAATAATAGTTTAGAGCAACTGGATAAAACATTTTACAATATTTATGTAGAAATTTGTGTATGATTTAGAAAGTCATTAAGCTGGAAAACTTCAATTTACTGCAGACTTTTCAGAGAGGTTACTTTGATGTATTCATTCAACACAGAAACCTTGCCTAAAATGGTATACCTATCTTGAATTATTTGCAGTGGCCTATATTACGGACCGTGGCCCACTGGGTTGGTAACAAAATTGAAAATAACACGAC